GAAGGGGGGTACGACTGCCGCCGCTGCCTCTTACTGCATCCCGCGGCGCTGCTCCGCGCCAGGAGCCTTCCGCCAGCGGCCGCCATGTTGGCTCCGCTCACTTCTGCCTCTGCGGCGCGTAGCTCCGCCCCCTCCTTGAGGGCGGCTACGGCGCGCGCGGCGGGTCCAACTACCGCGGAAAGCGCAGCGTCTCCGGGGGCGCTGACAGCAGGAGGGGAAGTCGCGTGCTCCCCGCGCCTCGAGTCTATGGAGGGGGTGGGGGGTCTGGCCAGGGGGCCTCCAGTCTGTCGGTGGGTCCGGTGCTCACGTCTGTCTGGGGGGCTGGAAGCCTGGCAAGGGACCTCGCGCCTATCGAGGGGCCCTGAAGCCGATGGGGTGGTCCTTGAGCCTGTCAAGGGGGGTTGCAGCTGATTTGTCGGGTCCTTGGGTCTAACAAGAGGCCCCTGAGTCTATGGAGGGGTCTTTTGAGTCTATCAAGGGGAGCTTGGGTCTATCAAGGGGTCCTCGCGTCTCTCGATGGGTCCTCAAGTCTACGGAGGGGTCCTTGAGTCTGTCACGGGTACCTTGAGTCCATCGAGGGGGGCCCGGAGCCTATTGAGGGGTCCTTGAGTCCATCAAGTGGTCTTTGAGTCTGTCAAGAGTACCTTGAGTCTATCGAGGGGGGCCTGGAGTCTGTTGAGGTCGGTCCTTGAGTTTGTTGAGCGCGTCTTGAGTCTATCTAGACAGGTTTTGAGGTTATAGAGGGGTCCTCGAGTCTATAAAGGAGTGTTTGTATCCATCGAGGGGTGCCTGGGGTCTCTAGAGGAGGCCTCAGGTCTATGGAGGGGGTGCCCTGTGTCTGACGAGGATGCCTTGAGTCTGTCCAGGGGGCCTCGAGTCTGCCGAGGGTGAGGATTGCTGGCCCAGCGTAACGGGCCGTGCCGCTTGCAGCAAAGATGGGAAGAATTCGCTCCTGAGCACGCCTGAGATAGTTGGCGAGTTAAATCGCTCATCCCAGCCATGAGGCTCTCGGGCCCTTGTTTATAGGGCTGCTGGCCTTGTCTGTGCGAGCCATTGCTGTCATGTGAAGCGCTGCGAGCTGGTGAGAAACCACCAGGTGTTGGCTTTTCCCATCCTTATCTGCAATGTGAAAGGGAGTGTAAATGAGGAAAAGAAGGTAATGCACTGCTTGCATTCCCTGATTTAAAATACAAGTGGTTCACATTTTGACTGTCTAGGCTCCAGGAGGGGGCACTCTAACCTCTAAAATAAAAACCCTCAGAAACCCACACTAGCCATGTTGTTTTTGAGCAGAGAGAGAGTTAGTTATCCGTCTTAGTCTGAAGGCAGGCAGAAACCAGGGTAGATATGCACCCAATAGACTAAATAAGATGCATATACAAAGCACAAAGTTTTATGAACCTGAGTTTATGAAAGCTTGTGCTCAATACGTATCTTGTTTAGCTAGTCTACAAGGTGCATGTCTTCCTTGACTTCTCTTGTTATCTTTGAGGATTTTTTAAGGAAGGGAAAGGGGCTAACACTCGAGGGGAGAAAGATGCATGAGACAAGTGATATTGGGACAGTCCCAGTGGCCCAGACGAGTTCAGGCAGGTCACCAACCAGGCCTGTATGGATTCTTGTTTGAAAACTGGGCCCCTTGGGCTTACAGAAATCCTTAGGGAAGAAGATTTTAGCATCCAAACATTGAATCCCTCGCTGTAAAAACAATTTGCTAACACTTTGTTCCACCAGTGCCGACTGCATTCCTAACGGCAAAAGAGCATCGGCCTTCCCTGTCACTACCTTCTTTCACTTGGTCTAGCTCATCCCATAACAGCATCCCAGTGCTGTCCCCTCTAGTCTGATGCGTACTTACAGCCCATCCATACTCACTTTGCTTAGGATATGTGGAGAGAGAGACTTTCCTATCCCACCTTTTGTTATCTGTTGCAAAGAAGGAAACAGACCACAAACCCAGATCATTCAGGATTACAATAAATGAACCTGTCTCTTTTAAAACAAGCAGCACCATGGTAAGTCACGGATTATAGAGTCAAAAGGGACCATAGTGATCATCTAGACCAGCAGTGGCCAAATGTGTTACAATTGTCACGAGCAGTCATGTATTTGATACACGAGCCTTGGGCACTGAATTAACGGGCACCAGCGATAAGAGTGAGAGCGGCGCTCGGGGAGGGAGCAGGGACTCCAGTGGAACTTGGGAAGGGGGCAGGAATCAGGGGTTGGTGCTGGCTTTCAATGGTTTGGACTTACAGGAGCTGTGGTGGCAACTAAGACTTTCCTGGGTCAGTTCTCAGAACTGGAATTTTTGGATTTTTTTTTTAAATACCTAATCTTGAATTAAAAATTTGCAGTGATGGAGAATTCACTACTTGGAAAGTTGTTCCAATGGAAAATTGTCATCACTGCTAAAAGTTTGTACTTTATTTGTAATCTAAATTTGTCTAGGTTGAACTTCTAGCTGTGGCCTCCTTCTACCTGTGCCTGCTAGATTGAAGAACGCTCTTTTGTAAATGTTTTGTTCCCTAATTAGCTAATTATCTAGTCTCCTCCACTTTGAAAAGCTAAATAAATTGAGCACCCTTGAGCCTCTAGGTTATCACTATAATTATTCCTTTAATTGTCCTTATAGTTCTTCTCTGGGCACGTCCACATAAGACGCATTATTGAGTAGTAGACTAATCTACTACCATGCAGTAAAGTGTCACTGTAACCATGCACAGCAGTATTGTGCAGTAAAATAGGTTAATGCTTTCTTTCTTACCACGCAACAGCTACTGCGCTGTGGTGCAGGGGTAGACAGCTGATTGGAAGCAAATTGCTCCTGGTCAGCCCAGACAACAAGGTGAGAGAAGTGTCCCCCCGGGCACCTGTCTGCTTCCCAGGCCTCCTGCTGCAATTTTCCCCTGCCCCTACAGTAGGCAGCTGCCAGGTCACCGTTCCAAGATTGGAGCCAGGACATCGTCCCCTGCCAGAACCCATGTCTGACCCTGGTACCCCCTGCCAGCCTGCGGCTGGTGCACAGGGTAGCATAGAGCTCCCACTGGCTGCCATATTGGAGCAGAGCTGGGCAGGAATAGCCCTGCACTGAACTGTTCCCGATGGGCACATGTGTAGATACACTCCCAGGGAAATCTTACTGGGCAGTATTTTACTGCCCAGTAAGCTTTCAGCACATTATCAGCACATGTATACATGCCCTCTGAGTATCATTTTTGAATGATCCACAACTGGACACCATTTTCCAATCGTAGGTGCACTGGTACCAAATAGAGGAGTAATATAAACTCCATACTTTTATTAAGTGTTCACACACACACACACACACACTCTCCCTGCCTTTTACACAGTTATTACTTCCCAGCATAGAGTCCTTCAATATCCCATAAGACCCAAATTCTTTGTTTTTAGATGTGTGACTTTACATTTAGCCATATCAAAGCACATATTGTTTGCTTACTCACAACTTACCCAGTGGTCCATATTGCTCTGTAGAACCGCCCTAATCCTCATTGTTATTTACCGTTTACTCAATCTTGGTGTCACTCACATATTCAATCAATAGTGATTTTATGTTTACTTCCAGATCATGAATGAAAATGTTGAATTGCGATGGGCTGAATATGCATAATTCCACTAGAAACATTTGGTTTAATGATGATTCTCTTTAATGATGGTTGTATGGCAGAAAAGAAGACCCAGGTATACAGCCTTGGCTAGGGTGATCTAGTTGGGGATGGTCCTGCTTTGAGCAGGGGGTTGGCTTAAATGACCTCCTGAGGTCCCTTCCAACCCTCATTTTCTATGATTCCATGAAATAAAGCCCAGTGGTTTGCCACTAGCCTAGGAATTGGGAGACTCAAGTTTACATGCTTATTCTGCTACAGATTTCTGGTACGAAGGTGAACAAGGCTCTGGCTCCCTGTGCCTCAGTTTAATAGTGCTTCCCTGTGCAAGGAATAATACTTGAGAGCATGAGACTGTAGTATTGCAGGCTGGATAGATAGGGATGGAATACAGTCACCTCAAAAGGATGCTGTAGACAACAGTTTCTGAAATATATTGTAAATATACTTTATGTGTAGCCTAAACTGTCGAGGACATTCATTTTTTCTAAACACAAATTATGGCTACCCTGACGCAGCTATGGGAGTGTGAAGAGTGTAGCAGGTTCTTCTGTAGGATTAGGTCTCCTGAATGTGGGAATCAAGCTCAAAGGTTCATCCAAGCCTAATGGTCCAATTTAATGGAGTTTAGCTCAGACCATGGGTTGTTTTCAGCCCAGTTTATGCCACTGCTGGAGCCAGAGCTAGACACCCACCACTCTCCCTGCTGTGCTGCCATCGTGGCTTCCCTTTGCTGCTTTTCCTTGTTGCTCAGCAAAGCCCCCTGCCACTGAAATGCTGCAGAGGTCCCCTGGCTTGGCAGGCCAGAAAAATGGCTCCACACACCAGATTAGGCCCATGGGCCTTAGATTGCCAACACCTGCAATGGATGTAGGGAGAACAGAGAAGTTGAACTGCCATTGACTACAAAGGAGGTCAGTGAGGGAAGTGGCATGGAATCCATGACCCTGACTTTCTTCTGCTTTGCCCCTATTATAATCCAGTGTGAAGTGGGTCAGATCCTGCTGTATGCCAGCTTTGCACTGCTCTAAAGCCAGGTGGTCAAGTCATTGATGGATTTACTCTCATTAGGGCATCCTCAAGAGGGGCAGATAGAAAGGCTATGCTTAAAGGCATACTGATTACTTTTCTACTGATCCCTAACACACTCCATTATTCCGGTTGCCTCCAGGTAATGTTATAGCCCCTTGGGATAACTGGTAGTTGCAGAACCATAGAACAGCTCACAGGTTGACCTAAAGGATCCAAATATAGCTGATCCTTTATGATTTTTCAAACAACCTGAAAGCAAAGCATGACCTTCTGGATGACAGGTGTCATTGGACTCAGTGCAAGGATAATGGTGAAATGTTATGATCTGGACTATATCAGAGGTCAGACCAACTGATCTGATGGCCACTTCTGACCTTATGATCTACAGATTACAATTCCATCACGCGCTAACCAGTGTTGACATTTATTGTAAAGTAAATAAAGAAAAGAAGGAAAATATTTTTCAGTAAAAGCATCCT